CAGCCCGGCCCGGAGCGGAGCCTCCCCCCCGTCACAAAGGAGGAGCGGGCCGGCCCCGGCCGCCGCCGGCGCGGAGCTGCCGCCCGCAAAACCCGCGGCGGATCGGCGGAGCCGGGGGCCGGGGGGCAGCGCTCCCCCGCCGCGGCCGGGGCCGCCCGGGGCGATCCCCGCGGGCAGCGGGCGATGTCCCGCGGCCGGAGCCCTCCGGAGGCGTGCTGGCCGCTCGGCGGCTGCCGGCCCCGGGGTTTCTGCCCGCGGGTTACCGAAGCGCCTCTTCTTTGTCCCTAGAAATTCCATTTAGAATTAAGCCCTCTGCGAACTGTTAGCGGTTGTCATTTCCTCTCCGCTTGGCCGTGTCCCTCTGGAAAAGGCGTTGGCGGCGCGCCAGGGCTGTGACTGCACGCGCGGACAATCCAAGAAAGTCCGGCTGCCCGCTCCTGCCAAGGCGAGGGCGGTGGGCACGGAACCAGGAATTCCCAGATCCAAAACCACCTGAGCGCATCTAGACACAACACGCTGGGCAGCGGGACAGGATGCGCTGGCAGTCAGCGCCCAGCGCCGTGCTGGAGCTCCCCAGCTGTCAAGAGGTGAACTGGGAATTGGGCCATGCTCGTCTGCAACCCTTCCAGACCCAGATTCCCACCTCCTCCTCCTCCATCCTGAGGCCTTGGCAGAGTGGGAGTAGGGAGAAGAGCAATGTACCTGGAGCTCCATCCTGGACATAGCCTGGCCTGTGCCAGCGGGGTCTGAACCTGCCTGTTTAACTTCAGATGGTGCAAGGCTGCAGCAGAGCACGGGAGGGTCAAAAAGATTAGTTATTTGGGTTATAAACACCAAGTTCTTAGAAATCAGGACATGGATGTCTGGTAAAAATGGCAGGCGTGGTGTGGGTCAGGCCTGGGTCCCATGTACTGGTGTTCCTCTGGAATATGGAAATACTTAGAAAAGTGAAGTTGAAGTAAATACAACTTTTAGATGAGAGAAAACATCAGAAAACAGTAGGTGGGGAGCCAAAAGAGACTCTGAGGTCTGAGGCTGCCATTTTAGAACATCACCACAGAATAGATAATGTGGCAGAAGTGACCTCTGTGCAGTGACAACAAACAGGGCTTGGCCCCAGCCCAGCACCCAGCGGGACACACCGCAAGGAATCCCGCTGGGAGTGAGCAAACGGGAGTCCAGCGCAGGAGGCGAAGCCTTGGGCAGCAGGACTGGGTCCCTGCCAGCACCCTGTGCCTGCTGGGGATCAGGTGGAGGTGTCAGTGTCTACTGACAGCAACTCAGCCCTCACACCCATTTTAAAACTTATAATATTAAATATTTATCATCTAGAGTGCAGGTGGCGGAACAAAGGGATTGTTCCAAAGATGGAAAATGGGAGGGGAGGTGGGATATGGTGATAAATAGCAAAATTCTAAGTGTTTTCTAGAGCAACAAACTGCCCCTCAGGCTCCAAACAAAGCACCTTTGCTATTTCTCAGCCTGCACAGTTGACTGTGCAGCATGGAGCAGATTCCATCCAGCAAATTGGCTGGTCAGCCTTTTTCCTCAGCTGTAAATAAACTATTAGGAAAAAAATGGGTAATAAATGATGATACTGGTATTGTGATAGTACTCAAGGCCTTCTCATGGGTTGGAGCCCCAGTACAATGCTGAAATCTCACCTGGGAGGCCCTGTGGCTTTAGTGAGATGTGTGTGGACCACAGAGAAGGAAAAATACCAAGATATTCTTCTTCAGAAGAGTTTGGAAACTGTGGAATGTACTAGAACGAAAAATTATATACATCCTCCTCACAGAGGAGTTATTTGATGAAATTCTGGGTTCTGGAAAGACAAAGGAGAAGAGGGGGAAAACTCCTCCAGTCTCAGGCTGGACTCTCAGAAGTGAAGCCCAGTGTTCTATTAATGTCCATGGTGCCCCACAGCACCAAAACACCCTTCCTTGGGTGTTTCATTGGCACTAAACTTTAAAAAGCACGAACTGGAGAGAATTCTGCCATTTTATCCCAGAACGATCGCAAGCACACACCTCCCCAGCCCCAAAGATAGGTCTGCTTCAGGGAGCAAAGCCCCACCATCTCACTCAGCACCACCAGAAGTTTAACCACTTCACTCCAGGAGCCTGGGAAGCAGCTCGGGTGCATCCAGGCAAAGATCCCGAGCTTACACCTCTCTACCTGTGTCCGTCTTTTGGAACCCCCTCCAAGGAGCACTGTGTCAGACTATGAAACCCGGTGTTGATAGTAATGTGAAAAGCAGCCCGGATTCCCCAGCCACCCACACAATGAGGAGACACTCACTTTACCAAATGTTTGTGAAAGCTGCAGCAGATTTTGGAATACGCCTCATCAATGAGGCCCTGGCACTTTACTCAGTACTGAGGCATTCAGTGAATTCCCAGCCATGAGGACTGGGAAGCAGTTGTCAGTACAGTTCTTAACAACATTGCCACCTAAGAGCTGAAACTCCTCCCGCCTGTCCCGCCGTCCCGGGATGTCGCGGCCATCCGCGGGACCGGAGCCACTTTTCCCTGTGGCACATCCACGCCGTTCCCAGGCGGAGCCGTCCCCGCTCGGCAGCGCGGCCGGGCTCCGTCCCCGCGTCCCCGGAGCCGAGCACGCCCCGCTCAGCCCGGCCGGCTCCCGGCTCTCAGATAGGCTGGGAACAGCGCTCACATGGCACTGCAGGCCACCGCCACCGCGCTGCCTCCTCCTGACTGGAAGTCTCCTTCATGAAGGTGGCCGTGCCATTTAACCCAGCACTAAGGCAGTTTAGGAAACCTGGTCTAGATTAGAGTACTAGAAACAGGAGTAGTGTCTCCCCCCTCCACGAAAAGAAAAAAAAATCGGGCTCTGCCAACTGTGTGATGGCAAATATGGACTGAATCGTTGACATGGAAACCGGACTAAAGTCAGCGCTGCCTCGGCTCAGCTCGCACACACAAGTTATCATTATCCAGCCTTTCCCTGGCTACAAACACGGACTGGATCCGGCTGCCGGAGCCGGCTGCGGCTCCCGAGATAAAGTCTGAAGGAGCGCAAGCAGGGCAGAGAGGGGAGCCGGGCAGGAATGGATGGAGCTGCGTGGGGAAGGATGCTCTTCCCCGCACCGAGAGGCACGGCGTGCGGGGATGTGCACGCTGGACCCGAGAACAAGAGACCCATCCATTATAATCCATGGGGCGCCCTGCAAAAGATGGAACGGAGCCGGGAGGGTTGTTGGTTGTGCCTCAGCTTCTCTTATAGGCTTTTTGCTAAAGAAAATCACATTTCCTTTCAATGTGCTTATATTTGCCCAGCCTATTCCTTGCAGTGCTTTAGTTGCTGCTGTATCTGGGTTAAGCACTCTCCTTGTGGCTCCATCACCACTAAGGTTGATATTATTTGAATTATTTGTTTGCTGGGCATCATGCAAGACAACACTCAACTTATCCACTTCAACATAATGCTAAAATATTGTATAATCTCTCTTTCTGGGGAGACACAATGGCCCTGCGCTGTGAGTGCCAGGCGAAGGTAGCTCTGTCCCTTTGCTGAATGCAACAGCTCAAAGACAGGCGTGGATTTTCCGGGGGTTTTGCTGCTTCCCACGCCAGGTTCCCCCGGGCAGGGAGCGAGCCCCGGCTCGGCCGCCCCGCGAGAGCTCGCTGGTGACATCTGACAGCGATCTGGGAAACTTTGGATGCATTTTAAGGCAGGAAAGTGGACTCGGCCTGACTCGAGGAAATGCATTATTTTAGCAGCACTGGCGAGGAGGAGGAAAAAGCGAAGCGGAGTTTGCGGAGGGGAAGGGACGCGGGAGCGCAGCCCCCGCGCATCCTGCGCGACCCCCGCGGGCCGGGGGCAGCCGGGGCTGGTGCCACGCGTGTCCCGCGCCCCGCGGCCCCGGCCCGCACCGAGCCACGCCAGCGGGGAGCGAAGTGGGACAGCGCAGGTTTTGGGGGCACACGTGTGCGGATTGGGGGGCTGAGCGAGGAGAGCAGCGCTCACCCCGACGCAGTGAAAGCAAGGGTGGGGGTGGAATGTGGTAATTCCAGGGAAAATTGGGGGATATCGGGAAGGGGAAGAAAACAATAGTGAAGCGCAGGGAAAGGCGAACCCCGTTTATTCTGTTTACCCGAGGGTGCACCCCGGCTGCCCTCGGACAGCAGCGCTCCGGTGCGCTCGGGGAAGGAAGAGTAAATCTACCAAAAAAAAAAAAAAAAAGAAAAAAAAAAAGGGCAAAAAAGAAAATCAAAACGCGGACCGGAGTTTGCAAAAACCCCTGCACTGGATCCGGAGCCAACCGTCTGTTTTCCCTGAATCCCACCAGATTTGGGAGCTCTCGGGTGGGTTGGCAGTGTGACCGTGTTCTGCTGCAAACCCCACTGTAAAGAGTTAAAAAAAAGGGGAAAAAAGGCTTTTAAATCTGCAAAAAGAGAAAGATCTGAACTCTGGGCCTGGATTTTCCCACTGAAGGAAAACTTATTGTGTTCCAAATCCTTGGGACCTGGCGATGCCGTGCGGGAAGGGTCAGCAGCAGGTTCTCCTGTCTTGGAGAAAGCTGTCCCTCGGCCTTTCCCCCACCTCAGCACCTCTTTTCAGTGGGGTGTAAAAAACACATCCCCTCCCGTGAAAATCTACCCTCCTAAAGTGTATTTTTAGAGAAGTTTGAGTTCAGGCGTCACGACTGGGGAGAGGGGGTGCTGCAGGAGAGGCAGGCGCTGAGAAAGAAGGTTTTTTTTCCCCCTTTTCATCAAGCTCTCGCACTGCCATTTTCCCGAGGCAGGGAGGGAGCGAGGGAGGGAGAGCGGAGCGACAGACAGCGCTGGCGAGGAAGTTTCTCACGGCAACTGCGGGCTGGATCGGGAACGGAGCCTTTTGTTCCCGGCAAGTTCAGCAGGAGAGAGAGTTGGAGCGTGCTGGAGAGAAAAACCAGCGGAGAAATAAAATGGAGGGAAGTAGGAAGAGAGGAGAGAGAGCTGGTGCTGGGCTGAGATTAACTGCAGAGGACGGCGCTCGGGTGTGCGAGGCATTTATTTAGAAAGTTGGTGTGGTAGCCTGAGGCAGAAATCCCTCGTTAAGTGCATGGGAATGAGTGAGAGACCCAAGGACACGCAGTGCTGGGCAGGAAGTGGAATTTTCCAAGGGGTTCACATCCTTCGGTGCTCTTTTTGCCAAGATTCGCTCTCCTCGCTCGATGAAGGCTGCCTCCTAGAGACACCACGGAAAAGGCCTTAAAAATGTGGCGTGCTCTAGGCCTGTTTAAGCTGAATAATTAAAGGCTGGGCATGCCCTCCCTTTGAGATTGCAGCGCAGTCTGAAGCCCAGATGCAATTTGGGGTACTGCCCTGCCTCCCCTGTGTCCCTTTCTGCCCAGTGAGTGTTGAAACACGGTGCATTGTGACCATGATGTCGGAATGGGGTGAAAAGTCACCTAAAACCCAGCCCCCCCTCGATTTAATGCTTAGACACACACCCAGGACAACCCCACATTCACATCCACAATTGGTTTTGTCCCCCTGCACGCGCTGCTAATCCTTTGCCCCAAACCACGCGTGCTCTTTGCGTGTATGCAGACCCAGAACGTGAAATAAACTTGTCTGAACTAACCCCCAAATTGCTGACAAGCATCCATCCCTTTAGCAGGCACCCAGGAAGGGGGAGCAGAACTAATCCCCTCATTATTTATACACTCAGTCCAGGTGGAATTAAAAAGTAGGAGCTTTTTAACTCACGAGGCAAGTGACTTTTTCTGCACAAATTTGGGGTTTAGTGAGGTGTCCCGAAAATACGGTTTGATTAGAAATGTTCATCACCTTGTGCCTTGCCGGCAGGGCAGGGAAGAAGTCCGGTGCCCTGTGAGAGCGCGGCGTGGCTGTGACAGCAGCTCAGCGAGACACCACGTGGGAAAGCCGAGTTCGGGATTTAAACGTGCTTTTCCACTCCGGCCATGAGGGAGGGAGAGCCTGAGTTGGGGGAAAATAAATAATTAATTTTAAAAAGGCTTCGTGTGGAGCTCAGAAGCGACCTCTGTGGCTGCTGGGGACTGAAGTTCAAGAGCCCCGGGCTGGGAGCGCGGAGCAGATGCGGCTCGGGAAAATCCAACAGCGGCAGGAATGGCAAAGGGGGCTCGGGGGTTGGGGCTGCCCCCCGGGAAGAGCAGCGGGGCCGGGAAGCGCCGTCCTGGCCGGCTGGGAGCGCTCCCACCCCTGCATGGCTCCGTGGGGAGCATCCCTGAGCTCCGCGGGGACGCGGTGCCCGAGCCGTGCCCGGTCCCGGTGCCCCCCGGCCCCGCCGCAGTCCGCGGCCGCCGCTGCCCGAGCCCCGGGGCCGGCTCCGAGCAGCCCCCGGAGCGGCCCCGGCCCCACCGGCACCCCCACGGCCCTGCCCGGCCGGGGGGCACCGCGGGGCACCGGCTGGCCCCGTCCTGCCCTGCCCGGTCCCGTCCTGCCCGGTCCCGTCCTGCCCGGTCCCGTCCTGCCGCCCCGCACCGGGACCTCCGCGGGCCTGGGAAAGTTTAGCAGGGAAACGTCAGGAAGCATCAGGCAGGAATTTCAGTGCATCCCGTGTTTTATGGTGGCGTTAACTTTTACATATTGGGAGTAATTAGCAGCGAAGCTGTTAAAAGCAGATTTAAATAACCACCCCCCTCCCCCCTTTCTCTCCTTTCCTAAAATGATCCAAATCCGGTTTACCTCTGACTCGACCCCCACCCGGACAGAGGTGAGAGCACAAACTCCACGGTTTGTCCATGTAGGCACGAAAACACATTAAAACCCGCATATTAATTACCAAGTCAATTAAAATAAATATAATTTTGGAATGATTATTTTGGGTTCTGCCCCTCCCTGCCCCCCAACTTTGTTTTAGTAAAGTGGGGAAACATATACAGAAACCTTCCTTGCAGTAGATGCTTTTTTTTTTCAAACGGAGCCCAGATGCTGGTCAGGATTAAGGTTACACCAAACACATTCTACATTGCCATTTTCCAAACAGAATAAAGCAGATGGAAAAGATGGAAGAGGATAAAGCAGGAACGGAGCAGCAGTGAAAACTGCAAGCCCTGCACTAACGCTGAGAGGAGTGAGCTGGGATGCCAGGAGAGGCAGAAAGAAAGAAAGCAGGCGTAGCGCCGCTGCATATCACATTCCTCACAGTTAAAATGAGTATCTTTAATTAAACAGCTGTCAGAATTTGGGTTTTAAACCTTATATTTAAAGGGGGAGAAGGAAACTGAGCTGCAGCTGATCACTGCGTCTCCTCAGGGCTCAGTCCTAGGAGATGTGAAAGCCACTGGCCGGGGGCCATCAGAGTACTTAAGTCTCTGCGTAATTTTAAACATCAGCAGCCCCGGTGATTTTAAGGATCTACTCCCTTAAAGTTAGCCATGCACTCAGCACTTTGCAGGATCCGCCCAGCACACTCAGAGCAGCTCTGAGCTCCAGGACATGAGTATCTGCACATCTCAGAAACAAAGAAAATCCTCTTTTCAATAGGCTAAACATATCTCCTTTATTTCTAAGAGACACCAGTTCACCCATACTGGGAAATTGGATCAGACTGGAATAAAATCTCAAGGGGAAGTTAGCAGAATCTGTGCTTATTTGCAAAATATCACCATTTGGCAAATTCAGATCTTAGGTGAAATCCTACAATAGTGGTTTACTCAGCACCGTGACTCAGTTACATGATGTGCTTTGAAAATCTCTTGCAAAAACTGACTTTAAGAGATTTTGTTGGTATTATATAGGCACACACACACGACACAGAGAAGGAACATACAAACTATTAAATATTCATGCTATGGGGAGAACACTTAGTAACGTCCGTCCCTTCATTCCAGCCGTACAAAGGCAGGCACAAATAACTGCTGAAAAAATGAATAACCCAAAACAATCGCAGCATTCCACATAAACACAGTGTTGAGCAGCTTGCAAACATTGGCCGAGAAAGGGTCAAGCAGTAATTGTCCTTATCTACCTTTCAGCAGCCTCACATAAACGTGTAATTCCAATCTGAATTCTGTAATCAGCACCCCCGGGAGTGTCGGGACTTCCCACACACTCAGGTCCCTGTGTGGGGATGGATTTTCTGCTCCAGGCCTCCACCCCTCCAGCTCAAGCAGCCTAAAAGTCACCTTCTGAATGTCACAAGTAGGGACCTTGGTGACATTTACTCACAAACAAAAATTCAAACACATTCTGACCAGCTTTGCTGGAACTTCCAGAGTTCAGCTCTGGGACTGTGAAATGAGGTCATTTTTATCCATCAGTTGTCTCTGCCTTGAGAGAGGCCCGTGATCACACCTCAGCAACAGCACTGCTGGTAGAGGCTGCGATATCACACACATTTTTCACTAAAACAAAGGCATCGGCCAGAGCTTCCTCTGTAAAACTGAGCTCCAGACATACTGAAGAATCATAAAAAAGACATAATTTTCAAATATTTATGAAAGTATTGAGTATATCTGGCAAAAACAAAAAAAACCCACTCCAAATCCAAACATGTAATGGTTGTTGCTTGCATCCCAATCTTTAGAATTAGATTCTGACTGAAACGTGATCAGATGGAGTCAGAGTCATTACAGCTGTCAGAAAAAGGTGCAATTAACAGTATTATCAAACAAAGTATTTAAAAGTATTACTTATCCCAGCTTCAGGAAACATAGTTACTGACCTCAGGCTTTCCTGTGCTGGGGTTCCCGCAGGCAAGGGGGCACTGCAGCCCTCCCTGTGCCACCCCGACCTCTGGAATCACTGCCTTCCTATTGTTTCACCTACCTTGTCTATTTTTAGAGAGTATTTTGTGCAGGGCTGCCTCAATACATGTGTGCAGAGTGCCCAGCACGCTTCATGTTCTGTTTAAACACAGGGCTGAGAGCAGTAAATAATGCTGAGGCAGCACCAGGAGCAGAACTTCTGCAGGGCAGTGATGAGGCACGGGCTGCAACAAGACCCTGGCACTTATCAGCATCCCACAGGATAACGGAGCCCTGAATTCAGCTATCATTGCTCAAGAAACTGCTCATTATCATTATCTTTAAAGAACTTCACAAATACTCCAAAATTATTTTTTTGACCTGTTTAATAGCCACAGCACAACAACTTCCTTTAAAAATAAAAATTAAAAAGCCCAAAACACCTACCAATAAACAAAACCCAATCTAAACATGAAGCACTACATCTGAGTTGTGATGCAAATGAGTGAATTTGTTTCCACCATTTCTAGAGGTACAAAAATAATCTAAATTTGATATCCTATTATGAGGAGAAAGGAAAAAACTCACCCTAAAATCAAGCCAAATATGGTGCAAATAATGTCCAGACAACGAGAGGCTAATTAACCTGACCTCAGTGAGATGCAAAACTTAAATTATTCTTCCTCAGGAGGGGGAAAAGATTTAGAGGAAAGTAAAGAGATAAAATACAACAAAGGTTGCAATAATGCCACAGCTGATGTCTTTCTTTGATAGGGGAGCAAAGTTTTCTGGGTAAAGGAAGACAGAGCAGATCTCACCCATCCCCACATAAATAAAGTGTTTGGTCTGGTGTATCATGTAAAAATACCAGTTAAATTGGAAAATATGAAGGTCAGTGCAAGAGAAGTTTTGTGGGTAAAAAATGACTAAAAACCAGTGCTGGATTGTGCTGAAATGGGAAGTCTGGGACTAGAGAGTGAGTGCTTTGAAAGCTCCTGCAGCTTTGGTCTCAGAACTGGTGCTGTTGATGGGCTTTGACATGAGCACAAGGATCTGAAAAAGAGTGTTAATGCAGGTGGTGACTGGCAACATCCAAAGGCATCAGTGCAGGGGACTGGAATATCCTAAATGAAGAACTGGATGAGGTTCTGGAACAGCACAGGAATCCTGAGGAATGGGCTGGTGGAATGCAGTAATAAGATTAATGCAAATCACAAGGCTGTTCACAGGGGGACTGACAGCCAAAACTCTGGTAACCTGGGAATGCACCACGGCTAGGGAAGGATGGAGACTCAGGAGTGCTGTTCAGTCACAGAAACAAAGATGACAAATGGCATCTAAAGACCAGGTAAGGCACATCCAGATGTTATGGCAACAGCTCTCTTACAGAATTTTGGGTACAGTTTCTATTCAAGAATGACACATGAAAACTGGAATAATCACAGAAAAAGCTCCCTGAGCTGGTTAAAAGAGCAAGGAATCTGTCAGGAGAGAAGAGTGAAGCTTCTTTTCAGCAAACTCCAACAAAGACAGGGGCGACAGGGTGAGTTTGTATACACAGACTGTGGCTTGAAGACAGTATTTGAACTCAAGGGTTATGTTGGCAACAAATACATATCTAAAGGCCTAAGTACAATTAAAATGATTGCTAGAATAGGATGTCTTATTATTAGAAAAACTAGATTTTAAAGTATCCTTCTCTCCTCGGGGGAACATAGACCCAGTGGAGAACTTTGACAGTTTTGTCATTATTTTCCCCACTTTTAATCAGTGAAATGAGAAGAAAATCTCTGCAATATTGTGAAGATTCATTAATGGTGGTTAAAAAGTATTCAGACACTGTAGTGATAAGTGTAACAAAAACCCATTACAATTAGTAATTCTGTATTTACTGCAGCACTTGAATTATACGCAATAAATAAAATATGGAAGCAAACATCAAATAACAAGGATAAAAGAAAACTCTGAATGAGACAAGAGTTTGAGAAGGCAGGTTGTATGATTTGATTTATAATTAGAGTTTGCATCATGGCGCAAAGAACTGGATTAGGGTGGGCAAAAGTGTAAGAACCACAGAGAGGAAAACTGAACACCCTGCTCAGCTCCCTGGTAAATTCATCCGGGTCACAGGAGCGTGAAGAACCACGGAATGGAGGGTGAATGAATGTGGGCCTGGAGCACACACCAGCTCAGCACATTCCCTGTGGCAGACTGTGCTTGGAGGACTCAGCACTGATCCTTGTGTGGCCGGGCCTGCACACACTGTCA